ACAGTCGAGACTCGGTCGACAGTGACTGTGGTTCGACCATTCTTTACCTTTAGGCCCGCCCGCTGTGGCTGCAGAGATAAGGAAAGACAGTGTGGAAGTGTGGAGGTGTGTGTGCAGCGTGAGGTAAGAGCGGTAGTGTAGTTAGTTACTGCAGGGCGGTTAGGGAGAGAGAGGAGCAGTAAGAACTTCCAGGCAAACCGAAATGGCGATCAGCGTAGTTTGGCTCGATTCGAAAAGTGAAATAGCCGTAGCATCTTTGTAGACGACCAAATTAGTTTACTTTTGTACTATAACAGATTATTATAACATCATTTTTTTCTGTTTTTGTCAATTTGATTTTATACACACGTGTAGACTGTTCAGAAATTAGGAAAGACGGGTCTTGTTTCACACTGGGTGAGAATAGCCAACGCTGGCAAGTCTCACCCGGGGTGAGAGGTCGATCGTATTTTTATTTTCACCCGCGGTGAGAATAGCCACTTCCGAAAAATACATACATATCAGTAAGGCACCTTTTGGTTTGGTCTCAAATACAAATACTTTAGGTATTGCAAGAAACTAAAATTGTACATTTCAGTGTTTTTTGCTTTTTGTCAGCCTAGCCATCATTATTAAGTACGGCTAGCCTAGCCGTCTAGGGCCTGTCATTAAGTACAGCTAGTCTGCCAGTCTAGCTGTTATTAAGTACAATTCAGGGGCGAGATTTTTTTGCTTTTTGTCAGTCAAGTCATCATTATTAAAAGTGTACAACTAGCCTGCCAGTCTAGCCATCCTTAAGTACGACGGGCCTAGCCGTCTAACCGTCATTTAGTACGGCTAGCCTCTTCCAAAAGAAAGAGATCCACAATGTACGGTATTCGCATTCCATGCTAGAGTAGAAGTACATCTAGCCAACGTGTCTAAATATACATGGGAGCTGAAACGGACACGTGTCCCAATAGACGCAGCCCTTTCACTAGGCTGGGGCCCGTACTTTTGTCACTTTTGAAGTTGAAGTGATGATAATGAATAACCAATGACAAAGTTGGCTACTGCAGAGAGGGTCAGGAGACAGTGAGATTTTAAAAAAAAAAGTAAAAAAAAAAGCTTTATTAAAGTGTCTTGTTCCTTGGTTTGACACAGAGAGGAAAGTTACCCCCACCCCCATTTCAAACTGCAAGACATAGTGTGCAACATCACCAGGGATCGCTGGAGTTGGAGGAAGCATGATAGGGCTGCAGCTGGTGCTTATATTAAAATTATCTTTCAGTTAAAGGATTCAGCTTGCTGTGATCGTCATGACGTACAAAGACATAAGGTGGAGAGAATCAGAATGGGATGCTTTATTGTTCTCCTTTTTTTAGCTCTACAATGCCATGAATTCACATTGATGAGTTTCATATTTCTGTCAATCAGTTTTTATTCATCACAACTCTGGAATAATGTACAAAAAATTACCCCTCTCTTATAAATGTTATGTAAAATATTGGGATTTAAACAGTACCTCAAAATTGATAAGATTAGGCTTCGGCCACCACCCGGGGAAAATTCAGAATTTCCTACCAACTGAAAATGTTTAATTTAAAATGTGTCCTGCACTCTCATATATGACATTGCAATTGCAAGCGCGTAAGACAATTACCCAATTAAAAAAACCAGTGCCTTTCTTTTAATCAGTTGTCTTATTTCGGTTACAGTGTGTACTAGACTAAATACAAAGAAATAAAACAAAAAGCACTTTCCAAGCATGCGTTTCTCTTCATCTGTTTTGTACCTACAATACAAACCGAACAGTATTACTAGCTGGTTTGTTTATAAGTATAAAGATGCTTTTTTGAGAAAAATTCTCTTGTAACTCCTTCCACTGGTTAAATTTGTATATATACAACATTAATGTAATATTGATTATTAAGCTGAGTCTTGTAAGGAAAACAATTCATGAAAAAAATTTAGATACTTTTTAAAGAATTTTAAAAGTATTATTACACTAAAATGATTGCTCCTTAGAAGCTTAAAATGGAATTCGTGATTCTGCACTTAAGCATTTTTTACAGTGATACGGCCCCTTTAATTCTCTTCAGATTTATTGTGTTTACAACTTTGTAAAATTTCCAATAAGGGTGTGTTTCTGTCAGTTTGGTTAGCTCGTTTTTTTCTTGTCATTCGTTAGTTTTGGTAATTTTTTACTATTTATTTTATGGCATTAAATTTACTTTCAGAAAATACAAGAGGGGCACAAAAGTATTGCTCAGTCTCCAGTGCTTGGAAATGAGTTCTGCTTTTCTGGGATCTGATATCCATGTGACATTGCTTGAAGGGGATGCAACACTACTGGGCCTTCGCACGTCTCGGAAAAGTAACACCAACAGGTATCCATTTTAAGAATTTGATGTTTGTCATTCTAAAAGCTACATTATGCACTTTGATGATGTACTTTTAATGAGTTCAAATTCCTTTTAAGGTGCCTGCAACCTAGAAATTGTAGACTCTACACTGGACCATGAAGAGGCCATTACTTTCACCTCTGATTTGGAAGTAAAGTGTAAAAAGGTGCATTATATTATGTTTATTTTTTCTATTTATGGTTTTTTATCATATCGGTCAATACATCAGTCTATCCCCACTATAAAATGTTGTTTTCCTTACAAAAACTATAGAGGTTCCCTTTCCCTGATTAACAGATGACAAAGTAAATATTTCACTGGAAATAGATTCAGGTGTCTTTTGTTTTGCAAAGGCTTGAAAATTTTCTTTTAAATTTTGTCTTTTCTGTGGATTATAGATAGACCTACCCGGTAAAAAGGCTGAGCGGCGCTCTTGAAATTATTAATCCTATTAATGCCCAATTGTTTTAGTTTTGTCTTTGGTTTGTTATTCTTGACACAATGTCTTATAATGGCATACGACCACAATGCAGTGAAATGAACTTCTTCCTTTCTGCCTGCTGTTACGGATAATATTATATTGTATCTCACTGAGGACAAGCCATCATGATTGAAAGCAAAAAAACTACTCTTCATTTATTTGTTTAAATCGTGGTATTGGGGGTTTTTTTTCATGCTTGAGCGGAACACAACAGTGCTGTCTTGCAATAAATACAAATTCTCTTTTTTGTATGTTTAAAAAGTAGTGGCTTGTGTAAGTTTCACCATGGCTTGAGTTACAATGAAAGTCTCTTTTTCCATCAGATCCAGTTCAACTCTCATTTTGCAATTTTTTAAATGTCAATATATAGTGCAGTTGGTAAAGAGACTTCCCTTTTCTTTCTTCCTCCCTTGCCCCCCCCCCCCCCTCTCTCTCTGCCTCTCTCCATCCTGCTCTCTCTCTCTCTCTCTCTCTCTCTCTCTCTCTCTCTCTCTCTCTCTCTCTCTCTCTCTCTCTCTCTCTCTCTCTCTCTCTCCCTCTCTTTCTCTCTCTCTCTCTCTCTATCTATCTCTCTCTGTCGGTCTCTCTTTCTCTCCCTCCCTCCCTCCATTTCTCTCTCCCCCCACCCCCTCTTCCTCTTCCCCTTCCTCTCTCCCCCACCCTTTTCCCCTCCCTCTCTCTCTCTTCCTCCCTCCCTTGCCACCTCTATAGCTCCCTCACTGGCCCCCTTCTCCCTCCCTTAAACAAAATTTAAGAGACATATTCTTTTCTTTTTCCCTTCCGTCAAGGTCACCACAGACCCAGGTGTCGTCTGTCCAAGCCGCCCGCTCGTCTCACAGCACATGACAGGACGGGCTGACCACGTGTCAGAAGACCCAGGCATTCAGGACTACTCTAGAGCAAGCTGGACACACTGTTCATCTTACACACATGTGTGGGCAAGGAGGGTAGACGGATATGTAGAGGAACGAGAACCAAGCATTGGTACTTTCATGCAAAGTAGTGCCTGCCTTGTTTAATAGAACTGAAAAGTGGGTGGTTGGTGGGTGCTCTGGTGTGGTTTGCTCCTTCCTTTCAATCAAACTACTATCATCTTTATCTCTCCTCCTTTTTTATGTTTATTACTCTCTTGTAACACCTCTAATAATCTTCAGCACTTATATGACTTATATGATTTGCAAGTGCCGTAAAACTCTTACTAAAACTAAACTAAGAATTGAAAAGTAACAAGTACAGTCTTAGGTTGTTTTCACGGAAAATGGAAGTAGGCAGAATTGCTGTCGCTGCAGACCGATGGTTCTCTCAGGTACTTTGTGCCTGGTGTGTGTTGTTTGCTGAGTGAGAAGAAAGCAAGAATATGAAAAGGATAACTCTGTTAGTGGAATAAGCTTTTTCCGATGAAAAGAAACTTGGGGTACAGCCAGGTTTCAATGTTTTGGTGCTGTTCTGTGGCCCGTTGACCGGTTTGAGAATAAATATCATGTTCTGTTCTTTGTTTCATTTTGTTGAAAAAGCTTGGGAGAGTTGTTGATTTCCAAATGCCTTCTCAGAGCAGAACAGAAAATCTTTACGAGGATTAAGTTGGCAGTCTTTCTAAAATATCAGAGATGGATGAAATATTCCTCAAACGAAACGAAATATGTGAATCGCACCCACAATTTATATATATCGTACACTACTCAGCACTCATCGTCATCATCATTATCATCAGTTTTGTAATGAGCAGCACCAAAGCAGCCTGCACGAGTGGTTAGTTAAATCTCTGGTATGGTCTGTTTCTTTTGGTGAAATGCAGCAGTTGTCACGGTGATTTGCTCTAAAGTATCCATACTTTGTCATGCGATCTACATACAAGAGAGTTTGTTTTTCTTTTTTACAACATTTTCTCCTCTGTATCGTTCTGATCCATCTACAGCCGAGTCTGCTTATTCCTAAATCTGTGGGACTGTAGGATTTTCTTTGGTCTAGCCATGTTTTTGGTTTACAGACATTGCTCAAATAGCAATTCGAAAAAAAATGAAGGATTCTATTAACCCAAACACTGCAAGAATATGGAACCTTTGATTTTTTTTCAAATAGCAAAGAGACACCAATTAAGGATTCTACTTTCTTTCAGTTTTATCGGTTTAATCATGTCTGGTTTTAACAGACTCTGCTGTATTTTGATCCAAAAACCTAAATGCCTTGAAGTTGTAGTTTTGCTCTCGTAGCCCTGTTTAGCCAGGTCAAGTTAGTGTGAAAAGTGATATAATATGGATACATGTGTGTGTGTACTCTTCAGCAGCTGTTTATGAGATGTGTGGCTTTATTTTTCAAGAGTGTGTGTGTGTGTGTGTGTGTGTGTGTGTGTGTGTGTGTGTGTGTGTGTGGAAAGCTTTGATTTGTTTGTTTGAATATGAATGAGAGTTTCTTTTGCAAAGTAATACTGTGTTATGATGATTTAAGTCTTGACATATTGTTGGTGTCAATAAATCAAAAAATATTCTGACTGCAGAGAGTTTACTCTTTTGAAATTGACTTTGTGGTCGTTTTATATGTGATGAGTACTGATTGAGATGGGATCCACGAGAGAAAGAAACGAAGGACTAAAAAGAGAAGGACTTGGTTTTGAATGTAAAGGAGATGGGGTGCAACTGGTCAGAGTGAAAGTTTTAGACTATAATAGTGTGAGACAAAAGTACATGGAGAGCCCCTGGTGGCGGCCTATATACCAGCTTGGGAAGGCTGACGAATATCTTTACTCTCCCTCTGATATTTCTGTCTGATGTCTTGCTTTTTTATGCTCTCTATGACCATACTGAGATGACATAATATCTAGTGGCATCAGTGACCTTGTGATTAGGCTCCCGGACTCGCAACCCTAAGGTCATGAGTTCGAATCTTGTCACGAGTTGATGTTGTGTCCTTGGGAAAGGCACTTTACACAAATTTTCCTCACTTCACCCAGGTTGGAACGGGTACCCAGCTACAGACAGTGAAAGAATTTGTCAGTATGTTAGTGTTTGAGCGCTTAATTGGCTGTTTGCATTGTATGCTTCCTGGGAAGCTGAGAATGTGTCTCTGAGTGTTCTATGGTCTGCTGGGGTAATAATATTATAGTGTGTAAAGTGCATAGAACTTGCTATCGAGCTGGAATAGATATGCGCTTTACAAATGCTATTTATTATTATTACTATTAATTTTGTTGATTGTTACGCAGTCTGATGTTATGTCATGGAGTCTCCCTGACTGGGTTTGGAAAAAGTTACACCAGCGTCTGCCTGTGGAGAAAATATTTTGTCTCTGTCTTTCTGTGAGGATTTATCCCACTCAACCTGGGTTGACCCTGACAGATTGGTTTAAAGAAGCCTACCTCCTGCATCGCCAAAGTGGGCAGTTGGCTGGTGCTCTGGTGTGGTTTGTTTCTTCTTTCCTTTCCAAAATCTATCATCAGTATCTCCCCTCCTTTTTTCGTGTTTGTTACTCTCTGGTAACACCTCTAATCTTCAGCACTTTTTTGTTCTGACCCAGTGTGTTGCAAGCGCTCTAAAACTCTTACTTAAAAAGAAAAAGAAAAAGAAATCACCTAAATTGTGTTAATGAGAGCTCAAAATAGTTTACTGTCATTATGATGTAATTTACATCATAATGATTACAGTCAGTCTTTGACTTCAGCTCCACTTGATTAGCTTCATAGCCGTACCATAGATCTATATTTATACGTATAATCATTGAAGAAAGATGTGTTTTTATATATTTCATTCATTTATTTACATGAACACAATGCAAGATCAATCACATTCAAGAGTACAATATATTCCACATGGCCTTCATGCATTGTTTTGATTGGAAGTTTTTTTTTTTATAAGGCATGATGTACATAACAATAATAACATCCAAACAACAAATGAAACTTTATGTCAAACACATCTTGTAAAAATGTTACTAGTATTCAAATTTGCTTCGGAGTCGGGTGTTATACAATAGCCATGTGTGAGATAATCCATGAAATGATTTTTTATTTATGATAAGAACCTTTTCATGTAACAACTTGAACCTTCAGAAATCAAGTACATGTACAAACATATACTAGAAAGGAACAAAGAAATATGTACCAATACCATCTTAGTTCTTCGTTTGACTTTTAAAAAATGTAATTGCAGTTTGAAGATTTGGTGGTAATGAGTTAACGTTAAGGGCATTTTAATTATAGAATTTTATTTAATAAAATCTTTGGTTGTAAAAAGAAAAAAAAAGCATTTTCTTCGATAATGTATTAAAGTATTTGTAATTATTCTGTGAGAGGGAAAGATCATTCAGCACTTTGAATTCAGTTATGTGTAAAAATTGTAAATGACATTTTCATTGGTGTTTTAAATAATGAAAAAACAGTTTAAATGTGGTTCCTTAAGATAACATGTTAAGAGATTTTTTAGTACTGAAGTCCAATTCATTTCATCAACCTACAGTAACGAGTATACAAAATAAAGTACATATTATTTTATTTTTGTATGTAGTCATGGCAACAGATCGCTGGGACATGTTTTTCCTTGCATAATAAAGTAAGGCCCCGACAGGGAAAGTGGTAATACTTTAGCCAACACATTTGACATGATAAACACGCACATGTAGTCATCTATGATAAATAAAATAATTGTATGGTTTGTGTAAAAACTAGTAAAAAAGTAGCGCCTTTGATATGAATTGTATAATGGTGTAAAGTATTGCACATAGTAAACAGGGGAAGAATCACTGAAAATTTGCATACAGGTGGGTCTTGAAGGACAATATTGTCATATTGTGTATATGTGTGTGTATTTATGCACACACGCACACACACAAACACACACACACACACACACACACACACACACGCACACACACACACACACACACATACACACACACACGCACACACACACATTATATATAAGAAAATGAGAGCAGGGCACGCAACATTCTTCTCCGTATGTCAGCAGTTGGGCCTTATAAGTTTCAGACTGAGAAGAAATGTATCCATGATCCACAGCACAATGTACTGTGCAACTGTGTGCTGACTTTGGCTTCTCATTCATATGGCATCTTAGTTGACTTAGTATTTTTAGCTGCGAGCTCGGAGTAGTGGCATGATGTAGGCTACAATGTACACTCTTTTAATGTCAGGGATATTTTTGGGGGATTGGGATGTTCGGTTTCTCCCAAGCATCTCCGTTGAAACAGCATTGAGAAGACTTCTAAGTTCTCCCGTGATAAATTACCTGAAGTTTTTAAGTACTCGAGTAGATGTCATATAACTGTTCAAGTTTAACATTAATTTTTTAGCGTGAACTTATTAACTGTATGATGCCTTTAAGGGAGTTCTAAATTTAACTCTTTCAGGGCATGATTTTCCAGTAATTATTTCAATAAATGGCGGATTCCACCTCTGGTCTTTTGTGAATGTGTCAAGAAAGAATTAATGCTGTACAAAATTCGCTGAAAATGCTCAACAAACAATAACGAGAGAAAGATATTGCACGATATGAATCATAAGTGGGAAGTAAGGTTGTTCAACATTGATAACAATGACTGTATATTTTCCTGGGCCGTAACGATATCGATGCAGAAGTCAAAGAAAAGGCACGCTTCAACTCCATGAGAACACCTGAACACTTCACAGAGACGGTAGAAGTCTTGTAGTAGAACAGTTCTTGCCGCTCTATTCCTCATGTAGGCCAACCCTGTGACAGCTCATAGATTGTGTATAAGGCATGAGCAAGCTGATTTGGAGAACAAAAGGGAAAAAGTGGGGGGGGGGGGGGGTACTCGCCTTCTTCCTGCATGATTCCCAACACTTGAATTTATCAAAACAGTGTAGTGTAAGCCTTTTTTTCGGGAGCCTTTTAGAATGTGGGCAAGCTCTCCCTCTCACTCTCCTCCGGCATAATTTGTGGCCTGAATGAACTGAATTTCACAGGATTGACATGTCCGCTCTAATGGTCAGTCTGATGAGTGAATGCTTGTGTGGGTCAGTCATGTTCTATTCAAAAATCAGATAGTCAGTAGGCCAGCTCCCCGCCCCAGGGCCTGTAGGGTTTGACGGCGCTGTTGGCCTGGTTGGCCGCGTGGTTCTGGTAGACGGAGGTGGAGTTTTGGGAGGACATCATGGAGGACACAGAGTTCATGTTGAGGGACACGGGGAACTGAGAGTGCAGGTTGGGCAGCGTGGAGAAGAGCGGCGGGGAAATCTGGGACTGACCCACAGAGTTGTGGTTCATGGGAGTGACCGGCGCTGTCGCGGCCGTGGCGGAGCTGCTGGACAGTCTCATGGAGCCCGAGAGGAGGGAGTCGTTCTGCGCGTGACGTGTGGGCTCGCTGAAGGAAGAGCCCGCCGACATGATTCCCGGGGTGGAGCCTCCGAGAACGCTGCTCGTCTGGTGGGAGGCGCTAGACATGGACGGCACGTGTTCTGATTGGTTGAGGTGTGTGTGCTGTCCCGGGATGACACCGCTCATGGGCGTGGTCATGGAGGAAGTGCCGTATTGGGTGGGCGTGAAGCTGCTGTGGCCTCCGCTCATGCCACTCATGCTGCCGACACCGCCCCATGTAGAGTTCTGGAGCGAGGCTTTGGCCGCTGCCTCGCGCTGCGCCGAGTAGCACTGGAGGTGACCCAGCAGACGGAGACGGAGAGGATCTTGGAGGTCAAGGCCTTCCACAGCCACCAGGTAGCGCGCAACTTCCGCTGCGCATTCCCGGAAGCCAACGCTTCTGTAGTCAACGGCAACGGCGTGAGGGTCAAAGTTGTAGGTGTTGATTCCTGAGGGGGGGAAGAGAAAGGAAATTTTGTGTCACAACTTGAGTCAAATCATGTCTTATGTGTTGTGTGTGTGTGTGTGTGTGTGGATGAGCATGTATCGAAGTAACCCATACAATTGTCTTTGCACGTACAATCGAAACTGCTCAAGATAGCTACCATTTGTCAGTAAGACAAGGGGGAAAAAACGGTTGTTCTAAACAGGTGGGCGTCTTGGGCGGTGCCATTTTATATACCTCCCCCAAAAAGAAAGGGTTGGGTTGTTTGTTTGTTGTTTGTTTGTTTTTGTTTTTTTGGGGGGATAGAAAGTGGTCCTTTGTACAGGGGATTGTCTGAACAGGTGACCGTTAGCAGAAGTTTGACTGTTGTAAGTTAGGTCTTAATATGAACAAAAGGTTAGAATTAATGGTCTTATTTATTACAAAATGCTCAAATGTACCTCAACTGTGTGTCAGTTCGACAGGCACGGTCAGAAGCCTGCATCTTGCCTAAATGATCTAAATTGTGTCGTTGGGGGCGTAAAAACCATCTACATTTATTTTTTTTAACGGTTAACCAAACGTCCCAAACACTCCAGTTGCGAGTCTGCGAAAACACAGAAGACAGCGGTCAGACACCCTCGAGAACTCTCGCTGTTGTTTGGCCAAAGCTCTACTTCCTATTTGGTTACGACTCCCATTTCATATTTGGCCGGCATCAGAACATCAAAAAACCCGCCAAGTCGACGCGTCGACAATAAACAGGATTTGCGCGCAGACACCGGCAAGCAACATTTGTGTGCATGCCAGGTTGGGGTTCGAGAAATGGTATTTTTTCCGCCGCCAAACTGACGTAAGTGATCCCCTTTTGATGACTTTGAGAAGGCAAGTTGTCCCCTTTTTGCCGACCGCTGGGTCGTTGGCAGTGTCTCTGCATTTGCTCTGACAGAATCTGTGTCCACAATCAGGTGTTTGGTGTTGTGTGTGTTCATCTGCCGTGAGATATCATCAGGTCTGAGAGCGGGCGGGCGGAGGAGCGAGGGCCGGACTGACGGGCGACATTATGTGTTTGTGTTGGGAGATGCTGGATGTGGGGCAAGGACGGTGTGAATGAAGGGGGAGCTGGTGGTGGACGGTAGGGAGGGGTTGTGGTGGTGGTGGTGGACGAGAGTGTGTGTGTGTGGGGGGGGACAGACTAGCAGGCAGGCCGACAGGTAGGCAGGCAGATGGACAGACGGACAGACAGTTGAGACAGACAGACGAACAGAAGGACAAATGGACATGGTAGGTTTCTGGAGGGTAAATCATAATTGTAATTTCTTTTCCTTATGTCGTTTAACCAGTCGATCTTTTTTTTCTTCATCGTATTGAATGGCCTTCATTGTGTGGATATGTGCATCTTTTTGCCCAAACAAACCAACCAGAGAAAAATAATGTAACTATTTATTATTAACGAAGTCAAAATGCTCACCTTTCTGGTGGAGTATCTTGAGATGGTCTACTGTCATCTGCAGTATTTCCGCTTTCTCGAGTTTGGCAGAACCCTGGAGCAAAATCAGACACAAGTAATTAATACGTTGTAACGTTGTTTCGTTGTACACACGGGCCTCTATTATATATGTATTCATGTATTAAACGCCACAATAGTGTTAGACTACTGATAACAACCTAGCATAATTATATTTGTATCTGTATCAGAAGAAACATTTCTGAGCAGCGTGGGTGGCCCAGTGGTTAGGCTACCTGACTCATAATGGTGAGATTGTGAATTTGGGGATTCGAAACTCAGCTTGGTCCGACGTTGTGTCCTTGGGAAAGACACTCGACATGAATTTCCCATTTTGCTCGGTCCTTTCAGTTTCAGAAATGGACGTTAATTAAAACTCGGAGGTCCAGCCTTTTAAATTACCTATCCTGTATTAGTGTTGATAGTGGCGTTATATTGGGTGCCTATTGCGGATCGGGTGGGGTTGGGGGCGAGTGCCCCACTCGTCGCATGAAAACAAACGCACAAACGCGTTTGTTTTTTAGGCGACGAGTCGGGCGCGATTGGCTTGTGCCACGATAGCCGCTTTGCGCCCTCAACAAAGATCAGGCTAGCAAATCGACCCGATCCGACCCGATTCCCCAATGGTCAACCCTTATTAAACCTATATGGTATATACCATTTTCAAAAGATACAGTTAAATTTGATTTATTGACCAAAGCTCACCTGCTTTTCGAACGCCGAAGGCACCAGACGGCGAAGTTCTGTGAGGCTTGTGTTGATTCTATCACGCCTACGCTTCTCGATGATCTGTGAAAAGACAAAGGAATGAACATAGGTTAGTTATAGTGGGTGGCTCCTTTCTTTTTTCTTATCAAACATCTACCGTCCTAATCTCTCTAGCTCCTCCTTCTTTCTTGTGTTTGTTACTCTCTTAATTAAAACACCTTTACTAATTTTCCGTGGCACTTATGTGACCTAACTGAGTTATAAATGCCGTAGAACGCTTACTAAAACAAAAAACAAACAAATAGGACATAGGTTAGCACACAGCACACCCAATAACATTTAGTCTACTTTTTCATTTTTAGAAGAAAAAAAAATTACCACATTAAGTGACTTCGGTGCGTCTGCGTAACTATATAGAGCTAATGAAACGATAAAGAAAATACACACCAAGATAATTAAGGGAGTGGGGAAGAGAGGGTGAGTGGGAGAGAGAGGGTGTGTGTGTGTGTGTGTGAGAGAGAGAGAGAGAGAGAGAGAGAGAGAGAGAGAGAGAGAGA